TATATTTGCAAAAACGTTGTTCTCCACAGTATCAGCAGCAGTAGGGATTTTTTTAATAACTTCTGAATATTAATATAGCAGTTCTTAAAAATAGTTGGAGGTTTTAATAGTGTTTGGGGTTTTAGAGGTTCTAGACTTAGTAGGATTCAGAAAGATTGTACTGTGATTGTACTGATTGTACTGAGATGTGATTTTTTTTTTTTTTATAGATACAATGAAGATTTGGAGCTTGAAGATGCCATTCATACAGCTATCTTAACATTAAAGGTTAGGAAAACATTTAAAGAATACATATCTTACTGTTGCAACATCATTGAAGTGATTCACTGAAGTATATTTTCTTTAATAGGAGAGCTTTGAAGGGCAAATGACAGAAGACAACATTGAAGTTGGCATATGTAATGAAGCTGGTTTTAGGAGGCTAACTCCGACTGAGGTTAAGGACTACTTGGCTGCAATAGCCTAGTAGAAACCAAGTAAGACTGTGTGACTTCACACTAAGGTCTTTTTAATTTTGGCTCCTTAAATGTTTTTCTTTGCAGTTTTTGCATACTTATTTCTACATGGTTTGTCTGACAGATTTTTTAAATACCATGGGTGCAAACGCAGCAGTCCTAATATTGTAATAAATTGAATCTTAATACAGATAATTCTTTCCCTTGATACGTGGAAAGTTTGTACACAAAACACTGTTAGAAAATGTAAAGTTGTAATGAACACAGACAAAGGCAAAACAATAAAGTTGGAAGGCCTCTGTTTTGCGGGAAAGCGTGTGTGTCTTTTTATTCACAGCTTGTCTGTACAAAGCTGAGGTTTGGGTATCTTCATTGCTGAGGAACAGTCTTTCCACGTTAGCCATCGTGAACTGATTGTTAGACCTTCTTTTAAAGAACTTCTGACCTCTGTGCTTTCAAGAGAATTTTTTCACTTTGGAACTCTGTGTAATTATGAAGTAACTTCCAAAAACGGGTTGCTCTGGTGCGAAACACACTTCCATAGAGATGTAGAACAGTCTTCCATCTGGGGGGTGAACTGTGATTTACTTGAACAGCTCTGCTTCTGAGTGTCTGGAATTGTCTTAGTCTTTGTGTCTTAAGAGTTTGTTTTCTGTTAGTCAGTTGACCTTTGTGATCCTAGAAATTGACATTCCTCAATCCTGAAATGCTATTAGGTGTAACGGAAGCAATTGCTATAGACCAAAACCTAAACCCATTTACCAGTACTTTTAAAAATCAATAGGATGTAGAAAGCAAAATGAGAACATGTAATGTAATCACTTTATTCACTGTGCTGAAGTATTTTTCAACTTGCAAGATAACTGTAACGGAACAGCAATGAAAAGAACACTTGATTTATGCATTGCTACTTTTAAACGTGCAGAACTAGATACTTGAACATACTGCGTGTGGGTGTTTGTACTGTTAGTTTGTTGTGGTTCTTTTTTACGTGTGTAGTGCCTGTAAAGTTATGTAGAAACAAGCTGCACAAAAGAAAGATGCTAAATAGACTTTTTTTTTTTAAAGCATTTTTAAAGCAGAAATCTGGTCTGGAGCCATTGAAAAGTTACTGATAATGAAATGGAAACTGGGTAGTTGGATCAGACTGCTTGTACATTAATACAGCTGTATGGGAGCAGCCAGACAGGTTAAAAGTTACCTAGCCATAACCAATGAAGAAAATAAGAAGTCCAAAGAAACGGACATATAAACTAACTGATCTGCTCTGTGTCTGTCATCTAATGTTTTGTGTTATCATTAGGCAAATGAGAATTTCTTAAGCATGCCATAAATGAAGTTTTATTTCATAATGTCACAAATAAAAGTTATGTTCAGATGGTTCTTAAAGACTTCTCCAGATTACTTTTTGAGTATTTTTTTTACTCTGAAAACCAATTCGTATTCTGATTCTTCTTAGAAACAACTAAGCAACTAGGATGAGAAACCATAGACTTTATATTACCTGATTTTAATTTGCACTTCCAGAATCATCATTCTGAAAAGTGGGATTCTACTTTAATATCTGCATGCATCCAGTCTACCTTTAATGTTATATAAATACTTAAAGGAGTTTTGTATGCAAAAAAAAAAGCAGGTAGGTACTTCAGAAATGATTAGCATGAACAACAATAGGTTAGTTGCATCCTCTACTAAGAGTTGATTAGTGAAGAGCAGCCTATTAAAGGTAATTGAAACCAAAGCACTTCACTCTCAAGATGGTAATAGTGGGGCAAATGTAAAACGTGTTAATATTTTTTGGGTGGGTGGGGATTTGTGTGTGTGTGTGTGTGTGTGTGTGTGTGTGAACTGCTTTCCTCTGTGTAGAAAATAGTTCATTTTATAGGTGATGAAGAAACATGAAAGCCCATGATTTCTGTTTTTCTTGTGGTTTAATGATGTAGTAACTTCTGTGTCAGAGAACATGGGGACTTCGAATAAAGCAAGTACAGTTTAAGGCAGGTCAGAGAAAGGCTTTGTTCAAGTGATTACAAAGACAGGTCCTATATACTGTTTTAGGAAAGGGAAAAAAAAAAAGTCATTCTGGTGTTAGCAAGGCCAGCTGTCCAGCCTTGAGCAGGATGGACTGCAAACAATCATTTATAATAGTACCTATTTTAATATGACCAAGTGACTGTGAGAGGGATGGAGCCAAGTAGCTTCTTAACTCAGAGTTCTGAGAAAGAATCGTTGAACGTGTGCCAGTACGGAGAGGTGGCTTTTGTGGAGCCTGGAGGAGCAGTGTATCCCATATAACCCTTGCTCAGAGGTGGGGAGTCAGGATAGTCACAAGCTGCTAATTTTTAGCTGAATGTTTTAGTCAGGATAAACTTCATAACCAGCTCTTCCAAATATTAGTAACTTTAACACCAAATGTGCATTGTTATGGGAAGTATTGCATGCTGAGTAAAGAAAATACTTTCTGGTAATTGGTATGGATGTTATGTATATCTTTTGCCCACTTCCCCCTGTTCCATTAGGACAATATATGCTTTGATTACTATCTAATTATGGCACTATTTTCTCTTGAGAACAAATAGAAGTACTCGCAGAAAAAGAGGAGAGCATTATCACTAGGCTGCCATACCCCACGTGTTAGTACATAGCCTCTTTTTATGGCAAACAACTTCAAAATGATGAGTTTTCTGTGAGAGTGTTTTCCTTAGTTTTATTCTGAGGCATGATCCTGGGGCCTGAGTCACTTCTGTGGCAATCATTTCTCCTTGCTTCATGTGAAATGGGCAGTGTGGTTTTAACAGTTTACTAGTGGTCATTCTGATAAGCCACTGTTTGTAGTGGAGAACGATGGCTCAAACTGAACTCTTGAAGTTCTTTAACAGCCATATTCCCATCAGGGAATCAGAATTCATTGGATTTGGGATAAGTTGAAAGAACAGGCATAATATTTTGAATTCAGGTTTTATTTATGCTATTTGTTTGTTTCTTTTAGTGGTAGGTGTATAGATGTCAGTATTACACTGTTCTAATGAGGAAGATGGTGTGACTTGGAGCATGGGGTTTTTCTGCTGTTTTAATTGCTTAATCCTTGACACTGAGTAAGATCATTGTCATACTCAGATTACTGCTGTTTTAGAATAGTACACTGAATTTTATCTGGTCTTTGAAGAGGCCCTTTAAAATGCAGGAAATTAATTTACATCTTTTTCCATTCTAAATTCCTGGAATTTAAGAAATAGTAATTTTAATTTGGATATGTATTGCTCAGGAAATAACATCAACTGATGTTATCAGTGAGTGCAACAGAGCAACAAATTATATAGCAGTTGTATTTATTTTTGTAAATTGCATTATATTAGCGTGGTTTATATTCTGTAAAACCTAATTTAATGCATAAAGAGATGTCAAAGGGTACAGAGTGGACAAAATTCATTCATAAGAAATGGCAAAATACAAGCTCAAGATTTAAAATGACTGTGATGTATGACAGATTCATCTTGTTTCTGATCAGTCATCTGAAGAAGAGACACTGATCACTTAATGCAGACAACATGCTTTAATTTAGATTTGTCTTGGAAGATGGTCAGCTCTGAGGAAATCAGACAGCACAACACTGTTGTGAACACAGAATTCTTGGGCTTTACTTCACTGGTGGGATCAAGAGCTAAGAGCAGCACGGTACCACTGTATGCCATCACCAGTTTAGTGAGGCTGTTAGATGAAGCAGAAGTGGTGGAAGTTACAGGTGTGGTAAGCCCTTACAGCATGCTTTCAGCTTACTATTGCTTGCTATGTGAACCTGTGTTCTTTACAGACAGTGGTGAGGTGGTGGAGCAGCTGCCCAGTGAGGCTGTGGATGCCCCAGCCATCCCTGGAGGTGTTCAAGGCCAGGTTGGATGGGGCCCTGGGGAGCCTGGGCTGGTATTAAATGGGGAGGTTGGAGGCCCTGCTTGTGGCAAGGGGTTGCAGATTTGTGATCCTTAAGGTCCCTTCCACCCCTGTCCATTCTGTGAACCCACAATGAATTTCAGCAGCAGCAGCTGGGGAGAAGGCGAGTATCTTTCATGCTGATCATGCTGCAGCATAGAAAGAGGCCAGAGGCCACTGCGAGATTTACTGAGTAGTTGGGCTGCTGCTGAGGCAGGCAGCATCTTGGCACAAATAAAGGCACCAAGTGCTTGAGCACAGAGGGCCATTGCTCCTATTGGACACCAAATGCTAGTGATGCTGAAGCTTCACTACTACATACGTGATTGCTTATTGGATTGTTGATTAGAGCTCAGAGCTGACTATGCTCTGGCCTTCCATAAGGAGAGCAGAAGGCTGATGGCAAGCACAAAGCTGCGCTGCAGAGGCTGAGATCTTCGTGTGCTATAACGTAGTACGCCTGGATCTTAAAAAGAAAAAAAAAGCCTTTTTTAAAAGATAAAATACATGCTTTTGGAGGACCCCCCTCCCTGCCTCCTAGAGCACAGCAGCAGGCCGTCGCATGGCAGGCGGGCGCCGCTGATGTCCCCGCCCGGCGGCCCGGGGGAGGCGCGTTGGGTCGAGTCGGCCGCGGCACCGCCCGGGGGAAACCGCTGCCGGCGGGGCGAGAGCCCGGGGCGGTGAGTGGGGATGGGGTTGGGAGTGTCTTCACGTTGGCCGTGGGCGCGGGGGAGCAAGGGCGGCGTCCCGAGGGCATCCGGGCCGTGATCGCTGAGGGCGAGGCGGGGGCACGGCCGGGGCTGCCCGGCGTCCGGGTAAACATGGAGGGGCCGGGAGCTGGCGCTCAGCGCGCCTTGCCCGCGCTCAAAATGGCGCCGCGCTCACGTGATGGCGGCGGAGGGGAGAGGAGCTGGGCTCGGGGCTGCGTGCGAGTGGCCTGGAGGGGCGTGCGGGGCGGGGCGGCCTGGGGGCTGCGGGAGCGGCTGGGCTGAGGGGGGATTTGTCCTCGTTTACGGAAGGGCTGCCTCTGCGGGCGTTTTGTGGTTAGCGCTGGGGTCCCCCGGTTGTGTCCCTGAAAAGCTGGGCTGGGTTGGTGGGCTTATTTTCCTGTATGAGCTTGAACTGGGCTTCATCCTGAAGTCTTACTGCTCTTGTAAAAGTTGGAGCTGCTGTGGGGAGCGGTCCCGAGGTAGTAACTGCAAGGTTTTGAGAATAATCCTTGGCTTCCTGTGGAAGTATATGATGAAGTACCGAGCGTCCGCCGCGGTGGGACGTGATGTGGCACCGCCTGACCAGCGCCGCGCCGCCCTCGCGGGTGGTTCATGGAAGCTGAGCTCGGAGAAGGCTGTGCACGTGGGGCAGACCTCCACTCAGCGTCGTGGCTGTCTGAAGGTCTTAAAAGTTTTCCTCCTCCTTAGTAATTGGGTGAGCAGCAGCTTGCAAACACCCTGCAGATCCACGCGTGGCTATGAAAGGGCAAGGAGGGGCTGGAGGTGGTGGGAGGTGGATGTACCTTCACAGAGGCACTGAAGCATTGCTGTGGAAGTGTGAGTTTCTTGTTCTAAGGATCCTTGAAGGTGCAATTTTGGAATGCTAGGGGGTGAAATACTCTGTAGTGATACCTGAGCGCTACCTCAGGAAGGTGCCAAAGGAAAAGAAGTGCCTTGTGGCCCCCGCAAGCTCTGGCTGCACGGAATGGCTGTGGAGGGCAAGCGATGGTCAAGGCAAAAAATTGCAGAAGGCAGGAGCTATATTTGTGTGGCACAGAGCCAAAAGTGAATCAGAGTTCTGCTGTCCTGGCACTGACAGGAGGAGGATTCACTTTGGGCAGTGGAGGGATTAGTGCTTGAACCTGCCTGGTGGGGATTTTGAGAGGAAGGATAAAGTTTGTTGGCGTCTTTTCACCCGGAAGTGAGTGAATAAGGTGTGGTGGAAGATTTTAGACAACGGTTGACAAGAAAGGAAAGGTTTTGGTAATATTAATTTACTGAGCAAGTAGGATTCAAACTGTGTTTGAATTGTGCGTAATGAAGTCAGGTTCCAGAGTAGTAATGACAGAGTCTTTTGTAGCTCTGAGGCTGTATCGCTTTTCACATTTTTGATTTTTTGACTGAAACTATATTTGTGTTGCCTTTTGATCCTAGTTTTCTTACAAGTGCAGTTCAGATAAAAATCACAGGAACATCTGTTTATACTCGTAGTTGGGAGTGAAAATGGATAAATTTCACTCTCCATAGTGGCAGCTTACTGAGTGTCTTTAAAAATTCTGTTTGTGATGTGATACTTAATTGTACATTTTTCAAATCATTCAGTTAAGCAGTTCCTATTGTTATGTTCAGGGAGACATAATACGTAGTGTAGATGCAGAGGAACGTGTTTGATGCTGCACCATAAATCTGGTGAACCTGCTTTAACAGCGGGATTGGATTTGATGATCCCAGAGGTCCCTTCCAACCCCTATGATTCTGTGATTTTTGTGGTGAAGCTAGAGAACATAGAGATTTCCAGATCTTCCTGGCCCTGGAATTATAAATTAAATTTGTCACAGTGCTGTGTAATGTTGAAATTTACCCACAGGGGTATTAGTAGCTTATTTGGGGGATTATATAGTGTAATTTGGAGAGGACAGAGGTATGCTATTCGGAATTGTAAGATATAATGGGCGTTTTCTACACTGTATTAAATAACTGCTGGGAAGCAGGCAGTCATTTATGTATATCTGTAAGCGTGGTAGATGACTAATATTATAACGATAGTGTGGTCTGAGGGAGGGGAAACATTTGCATATGGAGTTAAGGGGATTTCTAATTTTGCTCTGAATGGCAACATCTGGAAATGAACTTTGGGAGCTGAGATCTCTTTAAATGACTGGCTCTGCGAGGGACTCGGATGTGAGTGAAAAGATGCACAACCTTGCAAGGTGTCTGTGGAGACCTGTGGAGGGCTGCTGTTCTTCCTTGCTGAGAACTGAAATCTTAGGCTTTAGGCTGTCATCAAAGGTGAAGGCTTTGGTGGGGCTCGTGTGGAGGTTTCTTATGCTTGTGCTTTACTGTACAGGTAGCTGTTCCACCAATTCTACTACAGAGTTCCAGTGTGTACTGTTGCAGTGACCTTTTGACTGTCCTTATTCTTAGCTGTGTCCTAACAGTCTTCTCCTTTTCTTTCATCTAATAGGAATAATGTTTCCAACATGTCTGCGCAGTCACTGCTTTGTGAAAGAATTGCCGTTGCCGAAGAACTGATCAAGAGAGCAGAAGCCCTTTCCAAGTTCCAGAAAAGGAGAATAGAAGGTGGGGCAAAACTATGTGGCAAACTGAAGGCTGAGTTAAACTTCTTACACAAAGTGGAGTCAGGGAAGGTGGTCATTAAAGAATCCCATCTGCAGAGTACAAACCTCACCCACCTCCAAGCCATTATCCAGTCAGCAGAGAACCTGGAGGATGTTGTCAGTGTCCTCCAAGTCTTTTCTTATGAAGACAGGTTTGGAAACAGACAGACACTGGTGGTAGATGTTGTAGCAAATGGAGGTCACACGTGGGTGAAGGCCATTGGTCGGAAGGCTGAAGCCCTGCATAATATCTGGCTGGGAAGGGGCCAGTATGGTGACAAAAGTATCATTGAGCAGGCTGAAGACTTCCTGCAGGCAAGCTGTCAACAGCCAGTGGAGTACAGCAATCCCCACATAATATTTGCCTTCTACAACAGCGTGTCCAGTCCTATGGCAGAGAGACTTAAGGAGATGGGGATATCTGTGCGAGGAGATGTCGTTGCAGTGAACTCTCTAGTAGAACCATCTGTGGAAAACCAGCACCTAAGTGCCAGTGAATCAGATGAAGAAGACCTTGAACTGCAGGTCACCAGGGTAGATCGGGAGAATTTAGTGACCAGTATTGCTTTTCCTACACAGATCAAAGTAAATGTGTGCAATAGAGTGAACTTAGACATCACTACATTAATAACCTACGTCTCTGCTCTGAGTTATGGTGGCTGCTACTTCATCTTCAGAGAAAAAGTGCTAACAGAGCAAGCGGCTCAAGAAAGGAGGGACAGAGTCCTGCCTCAGCTGGAGGAGTTCATGGAGGGGAAGGAGCTCTTTGCATGTGAATCTGCTGTCAGAGATTTTCAGTCAATCTTGGAAACGCTGGGAGGGCCTGGGGAGAAAGAGAGAGCTGCATTGCTTGTTAAAAGAATTAATGTGGTTGCAGATCAGCCATCTGATCGTGCCTTACGACTAGTGGCGAGTTCAAAAATCAACAGCCGTTCTCTAACAATTTTTGGGACAGGAGACACTTTAAAAGCCATCACCATGACTGCAAATAGTGGTTTTGTGAGGGCAGCTGCTAACCAAGGCGTCAAGTTCAGTGTTTTTGTTCATCAGCCAAGAGCACTGACAGAAAGCAAAGAATCTGTTGCCACACCTTTACCAAAGAGCTGCCTGCGTGATAATGGATTGTAATTTGTTAAAGGAATTAATCTCTGAATATTGCTGGTCTTTCAGTGGAAACATCTGGAGAAAAAAGAGAGTCATAGCAATACTATAATATATAATAAATTTTCTGATTGTTTAACAGTGAGAATGCTAACTGGAGCAATGGAAGGGTTCCCCAGGAGACTTACACTGTCTTTATTCGGTTTTTGGTTTTTGTTCAGCTGCTAATTTATTCACTAAAGTAATAAGATTTCCTTGAAAATCATTAACTGTTACAGTATATTAACTGTATGCATCCCTATTAAAACATTCAGTTACAGCACACAGATCCCTGTCTTTTTTTGTACCGGGGAGTCCAGATCTGGATGCAGTACTCCAGGTGAGGCCTGACCAGGGCAGAGTAGATGGGGGAGGATCACCTCCCTTGACCTAGTGGCCACAGTCCTTTTAATGCACCCCAGGATCCTGTTGGTCTTCAGGCCAACGGGGCCCACTACCCTGTGAATAAAGGTGGGAGAGGCCATCTGGAGCATATGGAAGAACCGTGTCTCTTAAGCGCTATATTTGGTAATAGAAGTCCTGAAAGAAGGTACAAGAAAATAAACAATAAATTGGTTTTTGCTTGCAGGTCAGAGCTTTTACAGCTAAAGTCCAAATGACAGTTTGCTGTTCATCATGGATTGATCTGTTTTACGGTCTTGAAGAAATGCCTTAAGCTAAGTACATGACATTAGTACTCTCTTGGGCACCCCATAAAGAGGTTTCTCCAAACAACAGATTTATGTGCTAATGAAGAGGGAGGGCAGTGACTTGTGTTATTGCCAGGTAGGCAACCCAAATGCGGGGAAAAGAAGTAACCTTTATATAGTCTGGATTAGAAGCAGTGGCACTGTCTGCAGTAGTTCATAGCCATCTCTGCTGCTGTCACAGCCCCTTGGCCGGTGACCTCACAGTGCAGAGCCGCGTGCATTCGGGCGCCAGGCTGGGCCTGCATCATTGTCACCCCTCATCGTTCACTGACCGCCCGTTGCGCTGGTGATAGATCAGGCTGCCCAGCTCCCCATCCAGCTTGGCCTTGGACACCTCCAAGGACGGGGCATCCACAGCCTCTCTGGGCAGCTGTTCCAGCACCTCACCTCTCTCTCTGTAAAGATCTTACCCCTGACATCCAACCTCAATTGTCCCTCCCTCAACTTAAAACCATTTTCCCTTGTCCTGCTGTTATCTACCCTTTCCAAGAGTTGACTGCCCTCCTGTTTGTTGGCTCCCTTTAGGTACTGCAGGCTGCAATGATGTCACCCCGCAGCCTTCTCTTCTCCAGGCTGAACAAGCCCAGCTCCCTCAGCCTGTCCTCGCAGGGGAGGTGCTCCAGAACCCTCTTCATCTTTGTGGCTCTCCTCTGGACCCTCTCCAGCAGCTCCCTGTCTTTCTTGTACTGGACGCAGTACTCCAGCTGGGGCCTCACAAGGCACAGTAGAGAGGGACGATCACCTCCCTGTCCCTGCTGCCACCCCTCTTCTGATGGAGCCCAGGATACCATTGGCTATCCTAGCTGCAAGAGCACACCCTCTTTTGTTCACATGGGCCCACCTTTGAAGTTTGTGAAGGTCCCTCTGGATGTCTTCACTTTCTTTTAATGTGTCCGCTGCACCGCTCATTTTTATGTCTTCCTTCCTACTGTTGCAGAGCTAGCTGGCTTGTTTTGTACCAGTGCTGTGTGGCTGCTTAAAAGCCCCTGTACATGAAACCACCATGTGGTGATTTCCTTTGCTGCCGTTGATTTTTCCACACTTACTCAATATGGCATATTTTACTGAATCAATTTTCTTACTAATTTCTGCTTATCACTTGAGAAATATTTTAAGAATCTAGAAATTATCTGTGTACCACTAAATGTCTTGAGGTATTTTGCTTTATTGCTATTTTGTGCCTCCATGCTGTATGCTGTCATGAAGAACTCACCACAAGCCTTGTATTTTTTAAGCCATTTCTGCCTTCAGAGGTGTTTATTGGCTGAATAGAACTTTGACGTGCTGTGCTGGCAGACAGTAAGAATTGTTTTGCAGGGTGTATCCTGAGACTGAATGCTGGCTTGAGAATAAAACATGTTTTGATTTAATGTTTAGTGTGTTGGGTTTTTTGTTGTTGTGTTTTTTGGTTTGTTCCCCCCCCCCCGCCCCCCCAATTGCTTTCTTGTTTGGTGCATCTGAAGAGCTCCTATTTAATTTTACAAACAGAGCGTTAGGGCTTGGACTCTCTCTGTTTATAACTTTACATATGAATAATTAGAAGACTCAAATTATGCTTGAAATTTGGTTGAAAAAATGGAAAATCTAGGACCGCTTATCTTTTCTTCCAATATCCATTATCTTATCTTCCAGTATCAGGATATCACTTGCTAGAATGCTTTTGATTCTTAATTTGGTTTGCCGTGAAAACTTCTGGTGAACCTCGTCCTTCTGATATTTTTTCCCCTCCTCTTCAATTTACATTATTTGTGTGTGGCTCCAAAGTCTCCAAGGAGAGTCTCTGTTTTCTTCAGCACCTCGCCTGCTCTGTTGGCTAGAACAGTGACAATACCAAGCAAGGAAGGTTGCCCTTGATGCCAGCCAGTAAGAAGTGTGTGGGTATTATATGAGGAATAAACAGGAAAGGGACTATATGTGTATGAGTAATGAGTAGGTAATACGTTCCTGTTTCTAATGAGTGTTGTCACTTGCAGTTTAATCAGAAGCAAACTTATTCTCGGCACATCTATGTGCATTCAAAATTTACAGATCAGTGACTTGTTAGTGGCATTGCTTGCAACCATGAAATCCCTCAGATAAGTTTTGCATGTTGCAGACACCACTGTGTCCTAATATTTTACACCCTTGTGTTTTCTATATTCTAAGATAGGAAAAGGGGTTGAAGCATGTCCTGTTTTTGGACTGAGGGAGACAGATGATGTCTTCAGCTAACTGCTTTAAGTCTGCTGAAGCCTCATGGAGCTGGTCTGAAAAAACTTTCATATTCCTTTTCCTAATTAGGCATGTTCACAACAGTAATATAGCAAGAAAGAGCAAGGATTAGTCTTCTGAAATGAGTTAGGAGACCTAGGAAACAGTGCCCTATAACTTTTTTTGTTAGTATTTTCATTCTTAAGTGGATCTAGGAAAGGATTTCCAGTAATGACGAGGCATATATTTGCACTGACATTCTTTATTTCACATTATTATGCAAGCAAAGGAGCACAGGTTACCTGTGATCTAGTTTAACTGTTTAAGGAAGCAATAATCAGACAGCATTTCTAGGGTATTTTCCTACAAGTTGTAGTTTCACAGTGAGCTGCAGTGAATTCTGCCCTTCCATCCAGCTTGTTGCAGGCACTGTTTGTATGCTCTGATACCATCTGATAGTGCTGATGTCAGCTATGCAGCTAAGAGCAGCCGTTGCTTTTCCATCAGGATGTAAGGCTGCTGTTTATTCTAGAGTAAAAAAAAAAGACAGTTAGTGGCAGAAAGCTCAGAACTGTGACTGTGGAGCTTTGCAAATTGTTTGTTATGAACGCCATGGGAATTAAGATTGTTTCTACGCCAACTACTGCATTCAATAAAGAACAAACCAAAGCTTTCTCAGGAATTCATTGTTGAGAAGGCCCTTCTGTCCATTTAAAAGGTGCTCACTTTCAGTGCTTTACATGCTCAATTTTGTTCTTTTTTAACAAATAAAAAACCATAATGGGAGTGAAGCTCTCTTCCTTTATTCATTCATGAAGCTGACTGCATGATAAAGCAGCTCACTGTGGTAATGAGAAAGCATGGAGATGCAGGGCACAGCAGTTTACAGTGCAGATACAGAAATGCAGGGCCTAAAGGAGTCAGTAATGTTTGGTAGTACTATCGAGCAAGAGTGTGTGACAGTAATTTCTGGCTGAGGTTCCTTCCTTTCATTTAGCGAAGAGTTTAAGGTCTCAGCAGTGCACTGCACTTAATGGTGGTGAGGGTGACGGTTTGCAGGAAATGTCAACCCTAGTGGAAAATTAGGAAATAGTACCCTAGTGCTTCTTTATGATGTTTGTGGTAGTAGAACTGGCTAACATCAGGGGTTTCTCCACTTTCTAAAACCACACTGGATGTGATTTTCATAGCTTCCACATTTTCTTAACACAGGTACTGTCCAAAACGCTGCTGAGGTAAGTGGAAGAAACAAAGCAGAAGCATTTCAAAGGGAATGCTTTCAAGAGAAAATATGTTCTAAAGATAGAATCTCTTGGGTTGGAAGATCAACTAGCAAGATCAACAAGTTCCAACCCCCAGCCATGGGCAAGGCTGCCACCCACTAGATCAGTTTGCTCAGAGCCCCATCCAACCTGGCCTTGAACACCTCCGGGGATGGGGCATCTGCAGCATCTCAGGGCAGCCTGTGCCAGTACCTCACCACCCGTTTGAGTGAAAAATTTCACCTGACATCTAATCTAAATCTCCCCTCCTTTAGCTTAAAACCATTCCCCCTTTTCCTATCACTATCAGACCACGAAAAAAGATTATTTCCCTTCTGATTATAAGCTCCTTTTAAGTACTGGAAGTCCTTCCACAGCCTTCTCTTCTCCAGTCTGAACAAGATGGGGCAGCTGATGAGAACAAGAGTAAAGGAATTAGGAAAACTAAGTCGGTGTCAGATCATCTTCGTAGCCAAGCTAAAAGCATAGCAGAAATTAGGAAGAGTAGCTCTTTGGAATGCCGCCTTCCATATTCTGTGCTGTGAGCTTTGGAAAAGCTGCCAGTATCTCTCATGGACAAAGGCTCTCAAGGGTAGAGCCTCTGTCTTACAGTGCTCTTTGGCTGGTGTACTTGGCACCTTGTGAGTGAGAGTTCTCTATGGATTGATATGATAGAACTTATGCTTGTTAGCTGTTCTGCATTTTTTTCTTCTGTAGGGGATAGTTCGGCTCATCTTTTCAGAGCTGAGGTTGAGATCTCACTCAGGCAAACCACAGGTCTTTTAATGATAAACCCCCAACATATTCCCATGTTAAAATGCATGTTATAAGCAAGTAGGACGTAATCCACAGGAGTAATCTCTTTCATGGAGAGGGGAGGTGAGACCTTTTGCTTTACGTACAGCTGTAAAATACACTCATGCACTGTAAAAGCAGTTGCCTTTGGAATTCTATCTTTCCTCTTCCATTACTAGCAATTTATTAATGGTTTGCGATAAAAAGAGCAGAAGCTGCTAGATCACTGGCATGCCAGAGACCCTGCCAGAAGCAGACTCCAAGGCAAGTAGACTACACTGTTGTTTTATGTTTGTTTGTTTGTGCTCTTTTCTTTAGTGCAGAAA